TATCAATCCATCTCATCCAGGGTCTTCCTCTCTTGTGCTGTCCTTCCACCCTTCCAAGCATGATGTACTTTTCCAAGGATCGGTCCCATCTGGCTACATGCCCTAAGTATGTGAGATGGAGTTTCAAAATCCTAACCTCCAAAGAGAAACCTGGTTTATCCCTCTCCAAGACAGACCTATTTTTTTCTTGGTGGTTCATGGTATGTTTAAGACCCTTCTCAAGCACCACAGCTCAAAGGCATCAATTCTTCTTTGGTCATCCTTAGTCATTGTCTAGCTTTCTGATGAATAGCAAGTAATTACAAACACCATGGCCTGTATCAGGCACACCTTAGTCTATAGAGTGACATCGTTGCTTCTCAGTACTCTGGAAAGGTTCCTGACCGCACATTTACCTAATGCAGTTTATCTTTTGATTTCATGACTTTTGGTGCTAAGAATGTTGATTGTGGAGCCAAGCAAGCTGTAACTTAACAACCTCAATCTCTTCTCCATCTATCATGGCCCAGTGGTGAGCGTCTTTGGCTTCTTAATGTTGAACTTCAATCCATATTGAAGACTACGGACCTTGACCTTCTGCCACAAGTGCTTCAGGTCCTCTTCAGTTTCAGCAAGCAAGGTTGTGTTATCTGCATGACGTAGGTTGTTGATGAGTCTTCCTCCAATCCTGATGCCACATTACTCCTCATACAGCCCTGCCTCCCAAATGATCTGTTCTGCATAGGGATTGAAAAGGAGTGGAGACAGGACGCTTGCCTGATGCACTCCTGATTTTGAACCATGCAGTGTTTCCTTGCTCTGTTCTGAGGACTGCTTCCTGGTCCAAGTATAGGTTTTGCATAAACACAATCAAGTGTTCTGGAATTCCCTTTCTCCTCAAGTTTCACTGTAATTTGCTGTAATCCACACAGTCAAATGTCTTTGCATGGTCAATGAAACACAGATATATATTTCTCTGGTACTCTTTGTTTTCTGCCAAGATTCATCTGACATTGCCAATAATGTCTCTAGTGCCACAGCCTCATCTAAACCCAGCTTGTATTTCTGGTAGTTCTCTGTCAGTTTACTGTTCCAGTCATTTCTGGATAATCTTAAGCAGGATTTTCTTGTGTGTGATATGAGTGATACTGTATGATAATTTTTTAAAAATTCCATTTTTTTTAAAATGGAAATAAATATAGATCTCTTCCAGTTAGTTGGCTATGTGGTTGTCCTCCAGGTTTCTTGGCACAACCTGGTAAGCACGTCCAGGGCAGCATCTGTTTGCTGAAATATGTTGTGAGGAAATGCTTTCTAGTCTTTAAAACTACCTATTTGTGTTATTTTTGGTATTGTATGCTTAAAATATAATCTGAAAAAAAATAATCTGACCAGTTGGACCGTATGAAGAAGAGCTCTGTGTCAGAACTGTTGAAAGACTTAACAAACTGTGTGGGAAAGAAAAGACTTGAAGTACCTACTGATAAAGCTTAAAGACCGTAGCCTTCAGTAGAGATCACACTTCAGTGTCAGGAAAACAGAAAGCCTCACAACTGGACCAGTAAGCAACATCACAGTAAATGGAGAAAAGTTGGAAGTTATCAAAGATTTCGTTTTACTTGGATCTATGATCAATGCCCTTGGAAACAGCAGTCAAGGAATCAGATAATCTATTGCACTGGACGGATGTTCTGCAAAGGACCCCCTTAAAGTGTCAAAAGCAAGGAAGTCACTTTGAAGACGTAAGTTGCACATGCCCATCTTGGTGTTTTCAGTCGACTCGTTAGTGTGAGGAAGCCAATAAGAAAGACTGAAAAACTGCTGCCTTTGACTTACAGTGTTGACGGAGAATATGTACCAGAGAATGAACTGCCAGAAAAATTAACAGATCTGTCCTGGAGAAGTGCAACCCGAATGTCGGTTCGAAGCTCTGGTGTCGGGGTTTTTGTTCAAAGTGGCTTTCTTAGCCATCAACTTCAGCTTTCACCACATAAGTGGGAGAGACTTTAAAATAGGAAATATATAAAGTAATCCTAACGGAATTGATCACTTTTCCCCATCTTCTCAAGTTAAATATTGAGTGCCTGTAGCAGCGAAGGTGGGACTCTCACTACTAGCGAGGAAGAAGAAGCAGAGTACAGCGTGTGTCCTTCAGGGAGAGAGGTTCCTGCAGCCCTCAGACTGGGGTCTACATGAGAGCAGCAACGGCTGCAGCAGAGAGCTAGAGACCGACGTGAGGCAGAGCAGACTTGGGTCTGCAGCCCTACAGAGCCGGAGCTCGGGGCCTTGGTCCAAGCTCACTGGAGGACTGAGGGGCGACGCCAACACTCATGGGACTAAGGGCGCTTTGTAACACTGACCGTGAACACACTTAAAAAACCGTCTTCACTGAGGAATTGTGTCCTGCTGCTAACCTAAATTGTTACCTTAACTTCCCTGATGAACTTCATAACCATGAGTATGGTTCTGTGAGATCTGTGTGATCATTGCAGTGGATTTTGCACTCAGTAGAACATTGAGATTGGTGTTGGGATTCTCAGTAGTGGAAAACCATGCCTGTCCTTCTAGGAATTGGTGTTGTGCTGTCGAAGTTGATGGGGACAGTTCCCCTGTGTGGAGGTAGGAGAGGGCAGATACGGGTATCCCTGTGTTGCCAGCACACCTTACAGAAACAAAAATGGTGAGAATTTGTCTCACGTACTTAGAACATGTTATCAGGAGGCAGTAGGCCCTGGAGATGGCCATCGTGGGAGGAAAAGTAGAAGATCTCAAACAGAGTTACAGCAATGGAATCAGACACAGCCAGTGATTGTGAGGATGGCGCAGGACTGGGTAGTGTTGGATTCTGTTGTACATGAGATTGCTAAGTGTGAACAAATGCATTGTCTCCTAACAGTCACACGTGTGATAGCAGTGCTAGGAAACGCCCATGATCTGTTATTTAAAAATCAAAACAGTCGCCCTCAAAACCAGTTACTGTCACCTGGTTCCAGCTCCTGGAGAGCGCAGTGTGCCAGAGGCGAGCTGGGCTCCGTAACAGTTTCAGAGGCTGGTTTTCTTGGAAGTGGATCTCCTGTCCTCATTTCTGTGATATTCTTTTATGAGTTCGAAACACAAACTGTTGGTAGCCATGTCGTCTGGGAGTAGGAACCACAGATTGGCTGATTGACTTTTCTCCTCATCGCTGTATGCTTGATCAAGTGTGTGGGGACTCCTTCAAATCACAGATCCCACCAGTGAGGAGGCCTTGGAGCGGGAGAGACGAGAGCGAGTGGCCCTTCCTACGGCCAGCCTGGAACTCACCAACCTCACTGCGCATGTGCCCGGGCCGCCCCCTCTGTCGTGCTGCTCACGGGGCGTGGGGTGGCTGGCCAGTTCTCACAGCCTCGCTGTCCCTGCAGCCTTCCTTCCAGTGGCGCAGTCACCCCAGGCCCCCCGCTCCCCTGACGTGGGGTTTGGTTGGGCCAGTTGCTGAGGCAGCAGCGCCAAGATCAGGAGATGTGACGTCACCATACTACCCTTCAGAGCCCCGTTGGGCAGCACCACCACTGCCATGGAGTGTGAGCTCCTTAAACCCCAGTGTATGCGCGAAGCCGAATCAGTGTGGGCTGTGGCCGGGAGTCAGTGCCTCAGGAGAGGGTGAGCTGGCCTCTTCTCTGAGGAGTGTCATAACCTGAGTGGGTTGGTGGCCCAGGACCGGAAAGGGGAACAGTGCTGTGTCAGCCCCAGCCCTCAAACAAGTGCCACCGAGTCCCAGAAAGCGTCTGCACCGCAAACTGCCCAGAGTGCTGCAGGCCAGGGCAAGTCGAGCTTGAGCAGCACGGTGCTGTGGGGCTCCCGCTCTGCGCCCGGCGCTCCTATGACTAGGGTCAGCTCTGGCCTCATGCAGGGACTCCATTCTGGCCTCAGCTCCACAGCACCTCCTTCCTAGAGGATGGGGCAGTGTCTGGAGTCTCTGGGGTGCCAGGGAGCATTCCTGAGTCGGTGCTCAGGGGAGCGAAGTGCGTGTGGACGTGGGTGCATGCACACGCAGAGCACCTCCTGCCCTCGCTGCCCCATGTTCTCTGCACCTCCTCCCACAGATCTGCTGGCCCTTCTCCCTGTCCACAGTGCCCTGCACCCTCATCCTCTCTCCCTGCCTCTTGTTCCGTTTTGGCTCCCTTGGGTGCATTGGAGGCCTGGCTTGCCCAGGCGCCTCTTTGCGACAAGACCTCCTCACCCACGCTGACTTTCCTGAAGAGAGTGGCCTTAGGCCCAGTCCTTCTCTCCAGCTTCAGGGTCCATACAGTTCCTAGCCCCCCTGGCCCCCCTCCCTAGAACTCAAACACATGTAGGTCTAGCTCGTGGGGGCACAGGAGCTCGCTTTAGGCTTTCTCACATTTGCAAAGAGGCGCTCGTGGCTCACTGGTGGGATTCACAGCTTCCGTGTTGGGACTCAAATTGGATCCCCGGCCGTGCACCTCCTGTGCAGATGAAGGCCGGTGAGGCCTGAGCGGTGCTTCATTGGAGCACAGGTTGCAGCTGTACTTCCATCCTAGGCAGACCGGGAAGAAAAGCCTGGTGGTTTGCTTCCAAAGTTTAGCCCATGAAAAGCAAGTGGACCCGGGAGGTCTGATCCCACGCGTGGGTTGCCATGAGTTGGGGTCAGCTGAGTGGCAGCCAGCCATAGCAAGATGCTCTACGATGAGAATCCCAACAACGCTCAGTCCACCCCACGTGGCACCCAAATGCTGGGTTCAGGCTCTCGGGGTGCACACACTTGCCTGCTGTGGTGGGAGGCAGGACCAGCCCCTGTCCACACACATGGTCCCATCTGGATCCTGGCCCTGCTACCAGATACCAGGCCTTGTTCTGTCCTCTGGGACGCAGGAATGGCATCTGGCTCGTAGGACGAGGGCGAAGCGGGGAGTAGTGTGGAGTGCTGCCCCTGTGTGACAGGGCTGACCCGAACATTGCACCCGCTCCCTCAGCAGGCTCTGGCCCTGAGCTGTCCTAATCCTGGAATCTGCCTTTGCTCCCAGGTGTCGTACGCCCGCCCAAGCTCCGAGGTCATCAAAGACGCCAACCTGTACATCAGTGGGCTCCCAAGGACCATGACCCAGAAGGATGTGGAGGACATGTTCTCTCGGTTCGGCCGCATCATTAATTCTCGGGTGCTTGTGGATCAGACCACAGGTAGGGGGTGCTCTGGAGCTCTGGGAGGGAGGGGCTAGGGCTTTGAGGAACAGACCTCTTTATCTGGTTGATGGGTGTTAGTAGGATAAATTAGGAGTTTTCTGAGGCTGGGCCCAGTGCCGTCCATCACGGTGAAAACACTGAGAAATGGTAGCACCCTCTCTTGGGCACCCAAGTGTCCCAGTCTTTCCTGTTTGTGGGGAAGAAGGCCAAAAAGGTCATTGTCTCTCACTGTCTATGGGCCACTGGTTTTAGTTCAGATTCAGTTTACTATGCAAAACCATCTTCCAGCCCAGGGTCCCTCAGGCTCACACACAGATACTCACCGTCCCAAAGCAGGTCATGCTTGTGACCTCTCACCATTTGGCAAGGATTCAGAATACCCCCAGTGTCAGGGTGCATAGACCTTCACTGTCCACTGAGTCCCCTGCCAGTCTCTGCCACTCCAGTGAGGGAACCACACCCCCACTTCCATGTGTGACCATACCCTGTCCTTACATTTGGGCAGAAGGAGGGCTGAAGGCACCCACAGTCTCCTCTGCACAGCCCACACCCGGCCCTTGGACTTGGAACCAAAGAGCGGATGGTGAGCCATGGAAGCTGCTTCACCGCATGGGCTGGCTCCTTGCTGGGCCGCCCAAGGCCAAGAGGCATCGGGGCCAAAGCTTCCCAGACACTGTGTGAGGTTTGCCCTTCAGGGTTACAGGACTGAGGGCGCTCTCTGGAGAACGGAACATCCTGAGCTGACTTGAATGTTTTCTAAAAGTTTCTTTGCTGCCACATCCACTTTCCTTGTGAATTTCATATTTACATATTTAGAGATTGTGTTGTTTATTGATCTTTGCTCTTAGTTCTAGAAAATACTAGTAAGGAAATAGTCTTGCCAAACAGTGATTTGGCATCATTTAGTGCCTTTGTTTTCCCTGAGTTCTTTTTTTTCCTTCTGGTTTTCTTTGGCCAGTTTTCCTTTGAAAACTGTTCTTCAGGAAAAAAAGAACATGCAGGAAACCACAGTCCCACACATTGCTTGATCCGAAGGTCATTGATGTGACCTTCATTCCTGTGACACCCCCTCCCTGAAGTCCGTCTCTGGCAGGATCAGACAGTTGATGCCTCTGGTCACGCTTGCCTTTCAGTTAGATTTCACGTCCGTGTCCAAGTCCACCCACTGTCCATCCTGCCATATAGCAGTGAGTGAGCTGTGCCCAGGCCTTCAGTTAGGTTTCATGTCCGTGTCCAAGTCCACCCACTGTCCATCGTGCCACACAGGAGTGAATGAGTCATACCCAGGCCTGCCCTCCGGTGTTCTTTTTTTTTTTTCCATTCATTCATTGTTGCCCTTTTCTCCCCTCCCAACTCTCCCCCCCTAATACACTACCCTCTTTGAAAAGTAAAAGACAAATTCTTTCATTGTTTTACAAACCTCCCCCAGGTCCACTCCATTATGCAGCCTTCATTCTGGACTCCTGTCATGTCAATAATACCTAGATATATATCCCTTTTAAATAGTTCTCTCCCTCATCTGTTTCAAAGCAGAACCCATCTTTCTCAGTCTCCCCCCAGCCCCAATGTCAGTCCTGTTTTACAGCAATGGCACCATGAAGTATTTGTCCTTTTGTGACTGAGATACTTCACTCAGCATAATGTCCTCCAGGGTCACCCGTTTTGAATAATATCACAAGTTCCTTGTTTTTCAATGCAGCATAGTATTCCATTGTGTGAATATACCACAGCTTCTCCGTCCATTTGTTTGTTGATGGGCACTTAGGTTGTTTCCAACTCCTTTGTAAACAAAGCCACGATGAACATGGATGTGCATATATCTGCTTGGATGTCAGTTATGGTGTCTTTGGGGTATATTCCCAGTAGTGGAATTGCTGGGTCAAATGGTATCTCTATTTGCAACTTTTTGAGAAAGTGCCATACCACCTTCCACAGTGGTTGTACCATTTTACACTCCCACCAACAGTAAACAAGGGTTCCAGTTTCTCCACAACCTCACCAGCATTTGTTGTTAACAGCTTGCTGTTCTGTTAAATTTTGCTATTCTGACTGGGGTGAGATGATATCTCATAGTTGTTTTATCAGGTGTTCTTCTGAATTGAGCAAAATGGGTTCCTGTTTGCTTCAGAATTTTCCCAGCCAATGACTTTCTTAATCTAATCTCACCAACTCAGTGAGTTTATTGGGCTGTGTAGGTTTTTTAAATTTATATGTAAATAACCACAGTGCTAAGAGCCTAGAGGGGTGCTGTGGGAGGCCCAGAGTGGAATTCACAGCTGGAGGCTGGGGAGTGCCTTGAGGCTCAGTGTGGGGTATCCACAGGGGGCTATGTGAAACAGGGCATGGCTTTAAGGTGGCATCCTGGTCATGTGGGGCCCTGGCATCACTATTTAAGATGGACCTGCACTTGAGGTTTTAGCCCCAGAGGAGGCGTCTGCCAGTTGAATAGCCTGGTCTCCCTGTCCCCACTCAGCCTCCGGCCCACAAGGAGAGCCCTAATCTGTACCCATCATGGGTCAGGGGACACTTTACTAAGCTGGTGACCTGGGTGTTGGCACAGACAGGCACAGGCTGTGTGCTCAGAGCGCTGGGGCCTTTCAGACCACCTTTGATGGGCCCTCTTAAGAAAGAGAATGAGTAGCTTGAGGTTGCCCACCTGGACCACCACCTCACAGCTCCCACCAAGTGATGTCTCTCTCTGGCCCAACCTGGACTCTCACGTTTCCCAGCTCCTCCATTCTCTCCATACCCCCCACGTCTGGACCGTGGTAGTCAGATGGCAGGACCACAGCTGCCCTCCTCCTTCTCAGTCCACCACTTCGCTCCAGCCACCTTCTGCTTTTTGAGAGCCTGTGTTACCACAGAAGCACGCTTGCCTCCCACTGGCTCTGTCTAGGGGACAAAGAACGTGCTTTGCTGAGGCAGAAGGGGGACAGGTGCACAGTGGACCAGAGTCTGGAGGTGTTTCAGTGTCTTGAGCCTGGATAACATCTAGGGAAGGGACAGGAGCCTCATTTGGTTCTGAGGGTGATTTAGGCCCCAGGGCCTGTAGCAGAGTGTCCAGGGTGCTAATAGCAGTAAAGACCAGAGGAGGGGTGTTGATGAAGGAGGCACAGCCGCAGGACAGCCTGGGAAGCTGCCCTCCAGGCCACTGGGGTGGAGGACCCGTTTTTTTCCTCCCCCTCAGTGCATTGGTGACCTCATCACTTGGAGGGGGACAGGAGGTGGTTCTGTGCTCATGTTGGGATGTCTGTCAGAAACTGTCAGCACTGACCCTGGGATGTCATCACTTGGGTTCCAAACGTCGGAGATGTTAGGTTTTCAGTCGTCGTTATTTTTTTTTTTTAAGTTGTTCATTTATTTTCATCATTAGGTTTAATTTTTCTTTCTTTTGCCAGGCTCACTCCGCAGCGCAGTAGACTGATTTGACTTTTGTTTTTCAGTTTGAAAAGTTCTTTTTTTTTTCCCCCTAACTTTATTTTTATTGGTTTGTTAAAAAGGTTTGTCCAGAGGGGTTGCGTTTATCCGGTTTGACAAACGATCGGAGGCAGAAGAGGCAATTACCAGTTTCAATGGTCATAAACCCCCAGGTTCCTCCGAGCCCATCACAGTGAAGTTTGCTGCCAACCCCAACCAGAACAAAAACGTGGCACTGCTCTCCCAACTGTACCACTCGCCCGCCAGACGTTTCGGAGGGCCCGTGCACCACCAGGCGCAGAGATTCAGGTGGGTCCGGAGGGTGCAGGGCAGGGCGCAGCCGGCCTCCCGCTCCCACCCCAGGCACGTCTGGAGTCCTTCCCGCCTTTGCATCTGCCCCCACAGATGGGCAGGCTTGCCCAGCTCAGCTCCCTTTGAGTGTTACAGGTGTTTGAACAAATGCCAGGCCTCGGGCAACCGTGATGGCAAGTCTCTCGGTGCCATTTTTCTAGCAGCATGTGCTCACTTTGTGTCCCTGAGTCACCTTTTGGTGATTCTCACAACGTTTGAGACGTCTTTGTAATGCTTTTCCACACCTAACACACTTCTGTATCTAGGGTAAGCTTCCTTCTTCGATGTACCCCTCACCTTGTCCCCATGGAGCCAGAACTGGCTCAGAGCCGACCCTCCAGCAGGCTTTCCAGAGCCTGGAAATTACAGAGGAAGACACTGTCCATCTTTCCCTGGAGCCGCTGCTGGAGTCAGACCAGCAGAGAGGTGCTGCCCACCCCTGGCCTCGCACCACAGCGCCCTGCTGTGGGACCACGCCACCAGCGCTCCCCTCAGCTCTCCCGTGACTCGACTGAGCGTGGTCTTCACCTTGCGGAGGTGGACGGATGAACCCCAGTGTCTCTGGCGTGAGGGCGGGGTCTCCCGTGCTCTTTTTCATTTGAACCCATAGATGGCATCACCCCGTTGGCGTGAGCACAGAGCTCGGGATCACGGCTTCTGCTGAAACCAGAGCAGAGCCATGAGGCTGAAAGAGAAGCACGTGCTGATGGTGGTGGGGAACGTGTTTCTAGAGTGTTCAGTGCAGGTCAGGCGCTTGGTCAGCTAGCAGTCCTGAGGTGAACTTTTCCTGGACGCTCCGTGGGAGTCATAAATAGGGTCAGTGTCTTGGACTCCTGCCCCTGACCTTACTATCTCATTAACCATGTGAGATCTCAGTCTGCAGGACTGCCTTTTTTCGTTTTTGGTTGAAACCTGCAAAAACATCACAAAGACTTCACTCAGTAACATGTCAAGGCCCCCCCGCCCCGGCTTTCCAGATTTCTTCTCTTTGTTTTAAGTCAGGGTGTCTGATTGTCCCCACCAGTTACCACAAATGCTGTTCTGGGAGGCGTGTTCACGGCTGAATAATGCAGAGGCCCCCCTCTCTGCTCAGAAGCCAGCCTTTCTTCCTGGGGGTGCACCTGCAGAGGAGAGAGCGCAGTCCAGTTTGAGAGGTCCATTGGGACCACTCATGGTGGGTGGGCTTTGTGGGCGGAGCAGCCAGCAAGTCACCCAGTAATCAAAACTTAAATACCAGGGAGGATCAGAGGAGAAAAAGTGGGGGCTTTGGTCAGAGATGAACAGAAAAAGGAAGCCTGAAGAGCTGGAATTGCGGGTCATGGAAAGGTCACGGGGACCCCTGGAGCCGGGGAGAGAGCTGAGAGGGCGAACAGCGGAGGAAGGAATTGCAGGTCATAGAAATGTTGCAGGGGGATCCCCAGGAACCAGGGTGAGAGCTGAGAGGGCAAAGCAGGGGAGGAAAAAGCCTCGTCTCCATGTGGAGGCAAAGGTGTGCATTCCAGCCAGCTTTCTTTCAGGACAGGAAAGGCCCATCTTCCTTCTGTGCCCTCAGGGACTGATCTTGGGGAAGGGGGACAGGCAGGCTGTCAGGAGGAGAGATGTCGGCTCCAGGTAGCAGGAGGGGAAAAGCTGTGAAAATGGCGTCAGTAAACCACAGTCAAACAGGACATCCGCCTCTTCCCAGAGCCACAGCTCCTTGGAAGCTGCAGGAAGACAGAACTATATCCTTCCTTGGTTTCCTCCAGGCAGAGTGTGTCATGTTGGGGTGCAGCCCACAGAGGTCGAAGCAGTCAGGGTTCTGGGCAGAGCAAGGGCTGCTCTCCGTTCTCTGGGGACCAGCTGTGTCCCGGTGACCTGTATGTCAGTGCCACCCTACATAGGCACCTGAAAAGTGCCTGGCACAGTGTAAAGCCTTGGTGATGGGTCTCTGAGTCCTTCCATTTGCACTGACACTGACCAAGGACAGTGATCACTGGCTGGCCACACGGTCCATTATCAGTCCAAAACGTGGCTTTCCTAATGGGCTCGAAGTACGGTATTAGCCCAGCATCCCATCCCGATGGAACCAAGGACCCAAGGCACAGTGTTTGCCCAGCATCCTGTCCCACAGCCCTGATGGGTTTGAAGCATGGTGTTTGCCCAGCCTCACAGTGTATGCTCACGGTGCTTGTCTCCTGACCTCAGTGGGCCCAAGAAACAGTGTTCGCCATGGTCCCATCCTGTGACCTATGTGACCTCTACAGGTCTGAGAAGTGGTGTTTGTCCAGCATCCCATCCTATGACCCCTAAGGGCCTGAGATGTGCTGTTTGCCCGGTCACCCATCTTGTGACACCTACAGGCCTGAGGAGCAGTGTTTACCCAGCTTCCCGTCCTGTGACCCCTATGGCCCTAGGCATGGTGTTTGCCCAGCCTTCCATCCTGTAACCCCTATTGCACGAGGTACAGTGTTTGCCATAGCCCAACTGGTGACCCCTATGGCCCCAGGCATGGTGTTTGCCTGTGACCCCTATGGCACGGTGTTTGCCATGGCCCGTCCTGTGACCCCTATGGCACGGTGTTTGCCATGGATCGTCCTGTGACCCCTATGGCACGGTGTTTGCCATGGCCCGTCCTGTGACCCCTATGGCACGGTGTTTGCCATGGCCCGTCCTGTGACCCCAGGCCCATCTTGATCTGGGAGGCATAGTGTTCCCCCTCCAAGGTGACTCTGCCTGTGCTGTCATCACTTGATCTCACACTTGAGTGTTTCTGAAGGCATGCATGTGACATCAGAAGGGCACTGGGGCTTCCGTAGTCACCTTGTCTGCCTGAATCCCTCTTGCCATATCTGCACACCTCTAGATGGTCGGGTTTTTGTGTTGATTGGGAACACATGCCCCTGTGGGTGAGGGTGGAGTTTCCAGTGGCCCCAACTGCTCTACTGAGTGCTCCTTTCTCAGCTGTCCGCCCTCTGCAGTGCTCACACCGGTCAGAGGTGCTCACACCGGCCATGGCCATTTAAACAAGAAGTGACTCAAGCAGCTGCTGAGCCGCTTGAGGGACTCGGTTCTGAGGTCAGGCCGCCTGGGGCTCCCGCCTGGCCTGGGTGGTAGTTGTCTTCTCAGCGCTGGTCACCACAGAGCACAGACCCTCCAACCTCACATGGAACTCCTCCCAGCTCAACCTGCAGCCTCTCCCTTCCAGCTGAGGCCAAGCTCTGCAGTGTAGGCAGAAGGGGTCCTCCGGCGTGGATGCAGCCGCCTGTCTGACCGTGACCCCTGCACTGTGCTCTCTGTCCGCTAGGTTCTCTCCGATGGGTGTGGATCACATGAGTGGGCTCTCTGGTGTCAATGTCCCAGGCAACGCGTCTTCGGGCTGGTGCATCTTCATCTACAACCTCGGGCAGGACGCCGACGAGGGCATCCTTTGGCAGATGTTTGGCCCCTTTGGCGCTGTCACCAACGTGAAGGTGATCCGCGACTTCAACACCAACAAGTGCAAAGGGTTTGGCTTTGTGACCATGACAAACTATGAAGAAGCCGCGATGGCCATAGCCAGTCTGAATGGCTACCGCCTGGGGGACAAAATCTTACAGGTTTCCTTCAAGACCAACAAGTCCCACAAATAACTCGCTCATGCTTTTTTGTACGGAATAGATAATTAAGAGTGACCGAAGTTGAAACTTTTTGTTAGTGTACAACTCACTTTGCGCCAATTTTCACAAGTGTTTGTCTTAGTCTAAATGAGAAGTGAAAAGGTTTTTTATACTCTGGGATGCAACCGACATGTTCAAATGTTTGAAATCCCACAATGTTAGACCAATTTTAAGCTTCTTAAGTTATTTCCTTTAAAATATATATTAAACAGAAATCTAAGTAGATGCATTAACTAACCAGTCCCTCTGGGTGGTGGTAAAACTGAAGCATGCTTTAACTTATAAGACTGTCTAACATTTCGTTTCATTTGATGTCTCCACGAACTGGATAAAAAAAGTTATCTTTTAGTTCTAGTTTTTAAACTAAAGATGTTAGACAGATGCTGAGTGTGCGTTTTCTCAACCGCTTCAAACATTTTAAGCGATTGATGCTTTTTGGTTGGCAAGAAATTGCTTCCCGAGCAGGTCCCCTTGCCACTCGCGGTCACTCAGCCCAGGCTCTGCCGAGCGGCCTCAGCTGGGCGCCTCCCCAGGGAAGGGGCTGCGAGCTGGGCCGGGCCATCAGAGGAGGACACACACAGGTTGGTGAGCCCAGGCGCCAGTGAGGACGGACCAAAGAGTTTCAGGGAAACTCCAGTGTATTTCCGAGTCAGCTCTAAGCTCCAGGCACGCCTGAGGATGTGTCGCTCGCCGGCCCCCGAGTGTCTGCCCCAACATGCATGCACAGCGCCCCCACAGTGGACACCTGTCACTTGCTCCCGTCTCCGAGACCATTCACCACAGCTTGAAGGCAAACGATAGCGCTGTGTTTTAACCACAGAAACATTTGAGCATTGTGTCTCTCGCATCCCTTCTTGTGAGCACTAGGCTTTCCTCCCTGTTTTAGGCGGATTTTGTTTTGACCTTTTGCTTTCGTATGAACATTCAGCAGAAAAGTACTTACTTCTTGCCAGCTAGCTATTAACAAAAAGCCTTTGATTGTAGTTCTAAAGATGAACCCGCAACGCTCTCTCCATAACTGCCTTGACATTTTGGGTTGCTCTGTTAATTTTCTTTTGCTTTTTTGTGTTTTTTGTTTGTTTTTACTTTTGCATTTAAGACCATTAAATTTGATTTTGTTTTGCTCGAGTTTTGTTTTGTTTTTTTTTATTTTACCTTTTCTTTCTTTTTTGGCTAGGCAAGGGGCTGGCGGTCCAGCTTTCAGGGAGAATCTGTGTGTCAGGCCTTCGGAAGCACTCCGGTGCGTGAGGTCAGAGCTGTGCGCCCGGAGCATGTGTCTGCCTGGGCCACGCTGGAAGCAGCTGGCCCAGCCGGGGCCTGTCCTCCAGGCTGCCCTCCAGGCAGCCTGGGCTCCAGCCAGGACCTCAGGACCAGGACCCGGTTTAATCAATGACTAGTGTGCAAAGAGAGGTCCCGAAAAGCAGGAGGACTAGCTTGGTACTGGCAGTCTTAATGTTGCTGAGACCAAACATGTTCCACGTGTTTGGATTTGGGATTTTAGTTCTAGATAAGACAGAATGATGAGTTTCTCTATTTATTTATTTATTTATTTATCTCTCTATGAGCCTATTTATTTATTTCTGTATTGCGTGGAAAATTTGGCATCAGGCCCTTCTCCAGAGCAGGTCAGGGTCCTGAGCGTCCCTTGGGTGATCCAGGGGCCCCTGACTGCTGCTGCCACCCGCTCCTGGCCCCTGGCCCCTGGTCCCGACATGTGATTGAGGTGCTTCACCAGCAACACGGACCGTCCTCATACATGAGGTCTCCGTGGAGTTTTCTCACAAAAGTCCAAGTTTGCCCCAGGCTCTGTCACTGCACCTGGCCAAGTGCCGCAGAGGATTAGCCCCTGGGCTCAACCAAAGTCACGTGTCCAGACTGCAAGCCAACTTGTAAGGCCATTGTGTGGATCCCACACAGAAGCTGTCCTTGCTGTCAACCCAGAGCTCACTCTCCCCAGGACCAGTGTTCTGGGGAGAGACGCCTCACGCAGATGGTCAGCCTTTGAAGGTGGGATTCCTCATTTGGAAATGCACCTTCAAGTGTCACGTCTACACATTCCCACCAGCCTCAGATCGCATCCCACTTCTCAGGAGGATGCCATCCTGAATAGAAACTGTGAAAATGGTGATGGGCACGCGGCCAGCACCTCCTCTCCCACCTTTACCCAGACTGTGTTGATGGTTCAGACAGGTCAAGTCTGACCCATCCAGCACTCCCTGACGTGTCTCGGTTCCTCAGGACGTTCACCTGTCCCCTGGCTACCACTGCTTGCACAGCCTTCTGGCAGTTACAGAATCCCGGCGTATCACTTGGGAGTGGTGGTTTACCAGCGTGTGGAAGGGCTTCACCTCTAGGTGTCACTGTCCCAGCAGCTGAGCCTGTGCCCTCAAAGGGCAGTCGGTGCGTCTTGTCTAGGCTTGTGTGCCAAAGGAAGGCTTCTATTGTTAAAGCCACAGACTAGAAGCCAGAAGGTTCCTAAAGGGGGAGAAATGTTTACATAGACGAATCATACTTGTGTTTAGCAAAGTGAGCGTACTCCTTTTAGCTGGGAAACGACAAAACGAAAGTTTGGTTGAGTAGTTACTGAAGAAGCTTTAGTGGAATTCTCTGTGGGCCTGTGAAACCTCCCCTGATAGTCACACCATGCCAAGCAGCCCAGAATTTGTGAGGGAACCTGTTTGCAGCTGGTGACCCCTTTCTCTCGTTGGCTCTGCTCTTCACACAGGCCAGCCCCAAGGTCTCTGCTCGCTGTGCCTCTGGTCACAAGTGCTGTGACAGACTCCAGCCCAGAAGTCCATGTCTCCTCCACACCCACCAGCTTGCAGGATGGCTGAGAGGGGCCTCACCTTTAAGCAGGTGGTTGGTGCTGGTCGACTTCCACCTTTCCAATACCGGAAGGTGGGTCTGCCTCCCCGAAAGGCCTTCATATGGGGAGCCTCAGGCCTGGCCTCCCCTGCCCCCTTCTGGGTTGGAGACGTAGATGGATCCAAAGACTGCTGCCAGCAGTCACCTATCCAGGTTTGCTTCCAAACAGGAGCCATTTGCCTCTGGGGTGTTGCAAAGATGTCTTACCCCAACCGGCATCAGGCTTGAGCATCGGTACACAGCAGTGCCTGTCGGTTTTGTCTCTGGACACTTTTGCTGCCTTCAGGTGTTGGATTAAAAATAAGACTAAGCCACAGGGCCCTCCTCAACCATCCTCCCCCCACCCCCCGCATCCTTTCTCGTCTCCCCAGTGCCTGCTGTGTCCCTGAGAGGCCGCTCCTCACAAGCCACTTTGTCATTCCTTGTCCCCAAGTGTCCCTAGGAGCTCCCTGGAGTCACAAATGCTTTCTGCTGGGTGGTATTTATAAGCAGCCATGTGACATGGGGGTAGAACCGTGAGCCGTCGTCCGAGGCCCAGACTCTGAGCAGGGTTCACGTTTCAAAACCTCCTCATCTTCCCTGACTTCGGAGATCGTGTGGCGTCTGCATACCCTTGTGGTGGCATGTCGCAGCTTCTTAGTGTGGTCACTGAAAAGATATGACTTGTGAGTAACCACGAGCATCTAGGCGAGGCCGAGGGAGGGTTGACCAGTGACTCGAGAGGACTATTCTACTTCCAGAAGGTTCTTTCTCCCATTGGGGCACCTTTAACTTGTGATGTTTGGGCAACACTTGCTTTGGGGGTGGGGGAAGTGTGACCAGTTGATTCCCATGCTGTACCGTAGATGGCTAGACGATTTGTATATTAGCGTGTTTTAAGTTATTGATTTGTTTTATATAAAGTAATTTATTTTTCAGGTATCATTTTTCATTTTAACTTTGTTTTTACACGGGTTTGTTTTCAATAAAGTCTGATACTGCTGTCCAAAAGTCAACAAGAATCGAATCCCATTGTGTTCATTGGAGGATGCTCATGTAATTAGCTTTTTTTTTTTAATTCAGGAAAAGCACTGATCAGGTTTCCACCTTCCCATGCCTTTTTATCCTTGTGAATAAATGTTCTTTAGTGTTTTAGAAGGGGAAAAGCAAACCTAGATTTTGATAACCCAGAAGATTTCCGATGAATAAAGAAGCTTTGAAAGAAGACCATTTTTCAGAACCTCAGTGACGTGTGAATAGTTTTTGTCAATGGCTTTCTCAAAGAGAATGAAACTTTTGCACCATTTTCAGAGTTTTTATAGAGATGCCAAATTGATATATTTACATGTAATGGAAACATGAAAAAAAGTTTTATTAAACAATTGTTCATAGCTGTGTAGACATTTTAATTCAGTTTCCAAAGCTCTCAGCGTATTTTTGAAGTTCGGAATGATAAGGGTTTGGGGCGTGACGATTCACAACTGTCTGAATGCTTTTAGTTCTCTTCACAGGTATCAGGCGTGTGCTCCCGCTGTTAACTGACTGGAACTGTGTCCTTTTTTGGTAATAAACAGTGGGCTGGATCATTGTGGTGCCGTGGTCCAGGGCTGAGGCCGCTGTCCCCTGAGGGCCAGCTCCGGTGGGAACCAAGCCAGCCCATACTAGCTCCTCTGTTGGCCAGAGGCCCCTTCCTGGGACCCTTCAGCCTCTGTTGGCCAGAGGCCCCTTCCCCAAATTCCTGGCTTATGGAATCCACTTTGTGGTCCCTGGGTGGGAGGTGGCTATGGTCCAGGGTAGTATGCAGGCAGCTTGGGTCTCCTGGCCCTCAGCCTCCCCTGGTCACCTGACCACCCTGATGCTGCTGCTTGCCCTCTCCCCACATCAGGCAGCTCCCTGGCCTGCACCACACAGTGTGGTTTCTGGGATGCTCCCTCCTCTCATGGTGGGACACCAGATGATCAGATTAAGAAGTGTTCTCTGGTGGGACATGGCATGGTTCCCTGGATCTATGTTTCCCCTTCTGTAAAGTGGGCACTCAGAAATCTCAAGAGAATGAGAACAGGTGGAAGAGGCCCCATGCCTCGCCCGGTACCATCCGCGCTCACACAGATTGCATCACTGGACTTTCTCCCCTTCCTGTCCTAAGCTGGGGTCTGTCTCCCTCTTCTCCAGATGAGGCTCAAGCACCCAGGGCCTCAGGATGCTCAGGCCAGCCAGCCCATGTCCATCGTCTGTGTAGATGTGGAGCTGGGGCCAGGCCAGGCCTCCTGGGCTGCTGCAGACAGCTCCCTGGGTTCAGGCTAAGGCATCTCTGACTACTGTGATGACCTGCCTCCCCGGTGCCTGTGAGCAGTGCCCCTCGGAGTGCATCCAACCCCTGGACTGGTCAGGCTGCAGAGCTGCCCTCCCTGGTGGTGCCGATACTACAGCTCACAAACCCAGTTAAGTCTTTCTGCTCCCTTCCCACCTTCTGGTGCCTCACCCCGGAGCTCAGAGTACAGGGAATCCCACGCAGTTGGCCCCAGTCCAGGCAACCCTATGCATTACAGACTGACCACTGCCCAGTCCTGCACCATCCCTATAGTAGTTCCTGGATTGGACCATTGTGGACGTGAGGTATTTGGAGGCTTGAGATTTGTAGATGGTGGTTGCCAGGCCTTTATTGTTGCTTTAAAATCTGGAAGCCCTGCTGAAACCCAGTCAGCCTCCTAGCATCACACAAGCCTCTGTGGCCAGGACTGGAAGCAGACTCCCTCTCCCGTCTGAGGAATGGGAGGGGGCCACCACAGCAGCCGTGGGGTCCCCAAGCTCACCTTCCACCTCAGTACCATCTCTGTGTGGTTTCATTCCAATTAAGGGCCTGTGGACCTGAAGTCTGCATTTGGGGTAGTTACTTCATTTTTTAACCTTGACAGTTTATTAGCATTAACGATCTATCTGGACAGGAGCCCTGGTGGTGCAGTAGTTAAGCACTTGGCTGGTAGGCATACCATTGGCGGTTTGAACCCACCCAAAACCTCTACTCATAAAAGACCTGGTGACCAGCTCTCGTAAGGCTGAACTAGAACCGAAACCCCTGCCATAGGGTCAGTTCCAGCTCAAAGTGATGGCAAAGAATTGGCCCTGTGCTTCTACAGAAGCAGGCTGCCTCGTCTTCCAGAAACAGTGACTGGTAGCTTTGAACTGCTGAACTTTTGATTAACAGCCTTAACCCCTGCAACACTAGGGCGCCACAAGACACTGAGCCCAAAACTATTGCCATTGAGTCAGTCCTGCCTTGGGGA